GAATGATTTTTACCAAAGTAGTGTACTATGTAAACTTATTTGATTAATTATTAACAAGATTGATTTCTTGGTACAATTAATACTTATAATTCCATGCGAGTATACATTACTAGTTCTACCATTTTCTTTTCGTCAACAAAAGATTCCATTGTTTCAAAAAAAAATTCCTTAATTCAAAAACTGTCTATGGTTGCATCTGTTAAGCTCATCGGTCTTTTCGGTTGAAATGAAGAACGACTTCTCCTTTGCCACAGTAGAGATGAAACTTTGAAAGGATTCGCAAACCAAAGAAAAGAATCTATTGTTGCAACGAGCAATTTGGAGAATTCAACTTTTTCAGGTAACTGCGTTCCATCTTTTAGATTTTTGTTCATTTTTTTTGGTTTGTTAAAGGTTTATAGATTTTGTTTAAATTTTGCTATTTAACTACTAGTTTGTGTACGTCACAATCATCTTTCACTTTATAGTTGTAGGTAGGTGGAGAAAATTCAAATTTTGAGTTGAGTCAACATTCCAAGAATCTATAGGATCCATACGATCATCTTCATCTTTAGAGTCTAATCAGTCAGTTCTTATCCCCACTTTTGATTAAGTCAAACAGGCAGTGACATGGGAGACAACTTGAATAACCCTAATCATAACAACCCTAACCATAGTCAATAGGTTAACAAACATGTCAGAACTCTGAGGGATTATCTACATCCCACAAGAAGCAGTGTCCCATCGTGTTTTGTCATCCCACAAAATGCACAATAGTTCACAGTGAAACCTGGTATAATCCAGCTTTTATAATAATTCCATGGCCTTGATTATGAAAATTCCTACCTACACATGAAGGAATTTGAGGAGGCATATGGGATCTTTCGGGATAGTTTCGAGTTAGCTAAGCTGAAAATCTTCCCTTTCTCCCTGAAGGACAAAGCTAAGTATTGGCTTAACACTCTAAAACCACATTCTATCCTTGATTGGTCTGCACTGCAAAAAAGAATTTTTCAAAAATTTCTTCCCCATTCATCGCACAAATACTTTAAAAAGTCACATCATAAACTTTTCTATGAAGGATGGATAAACATTCTATCAGTTTTGGGAGAGTTCAAGGATCTCCTCCATGCATGTCCACACTGTGAGTTTGAAAGTTGGACCCTTGTAGATTTTTTTTCTGACTCTCTCCCTACATCTTTGTGTCAGTTCGTTTAGGTGATGTCACAAGGAGAATTCATGGATAAAAATCCTAATGAGGCTTTCAATTTTTTTGTTACTTTATCTCAGAGTTTTCACTTATGGGACTTCATGTCACATGTCTCGAAAGTTTGATGCTCTAGAGATGAAGAAAGTTAATGAAGTTTCTGTTGTACCACCTGTGCAGCACACATGTGGGATTTGTGCTTTGGTGGGGCATTCTTGTAAACCCCCACATGTTTATATTAATATAGTAATGTAATTTTTTATCAATTCTAATATATGTAATGACATAAGAATGAATTATATAGATTATAATAGGAATAAATACTTGGGAGGCAAATTGATTGTGAAGTTTAAGTTTCGAAGGCGTTTAAGCTTGGGAAGGGTTGTGAGGTAAGTTTCTAAATATTTTTAAGTAAAAATAAGATTTTCATTTGAATCTGGAAGGTCGAGAAACCTTAGGAGAGATAATATAGGGTGTATTAGAAGTTAGTAAGTATTTCGGAGTTTAAACACAATTTTGAAAGAATTTGGATAGGAAGGAATTTGACACTATCTTAGTATTTTAACCATAACTTCTTATATCTGATATTTTTACAGTAGACACTACTATTCAAGGGCTACAAAATTGTATTTCACAAAAATTTACTAGATGCTTGACTGATAATTTCTCAATACCCAAGGACCAATCCATAACCATAACTTCTCATTTCTCCAACTGAAATTTGGGTGATTACTCTACCCCGGATTGTAGGTGTTCGAATTGGGAGAAAATGATTGCCTTGGTTGGTTGAATGCATGGACTTGCTCATGGTATGCTTCCTTAAGTGATAGAATGTTAGGACATTCTGATGTGGAATGCTCTACACTCTCACAGATTACACATCCCTCCACAATGTTAGAAATATTAGACACCTCATGTCTCCGATTGACTTCAAGACTCTCAACTTTCCTTGACAATTTAGCAATTTTTGAAAGTAAGTCTTCTCGATCTCTCAAATCATATCTCTCCCCCTTGTGGTTGAATACTACCCCAGGACATCCTAGGTACATCGTTGGGATCCCTAATGTCCCAAGATTATGCATTTTGGGCCAGCGTACTAAAGTAGTCCAGGGTCTCATCAGGGTCTTTATTCAAGAACTCGCCATTGCACATCATGTCAATGAATTGTCTATGGCTTGGTGTGATTCCTTTGTAGAAGAAACTTACCAGTTGCCATGATTCAAAGTCATGGTGTGGTATGGATTGTATCAACTCTTTGTAGTGATCCCAACATTGATAAAATTGCTCATTGGGCTTTTCATAAAAATTTGAATTTTCTTTTTTAAAGCAGTGGTTCTATGAATGGGAAAAATATTTGTTCAAGTATTCAGAGAGCATTTGAGCCTAAGAGGTAATGGATCGAGGTCGCAAGGCATACAACCATGATTTGGCTTTATCACTGAGGGAGAAAGGAAATAATTTCTATCGAGCTATGTCCTCCATAGCATAGTTAGTATTGAAGGTTACAACCATATCTTCAAACTCCCTTATGTGGGTGTAGGGATTTAGCTTGTCAAGCCTATGGAATGTAGGAAGTAGTTGCAACATCCCCGGCTTAACTTGGAAAAGATGAGCTTGGACCGGTAAATGGATGAAGGAGGGTGTGGTGCTACGGGTTGGTTGAAGGAAAACCCTCATAGACCTCATCGGAGGGTCCATTGGGATGTTATTCCCTTCATTCACGGGAAGGAGAAATTGCATCCGTAGATTAGGCATTCTAAGTTCGGGAACTCCCCCACCCCTTGGAACATTTGGTATTCTAGGTTCGGGCACTCCCCCACCCCTTTGAGCATTTGGATTGGCACCAAGATTATCAAAATTTTCACCTGCATCCTCGGGTGGGTTTTGGTCAATATTCATGTCAGGGTCTAAGGGTTGTCTAACCAATTGGTTTTGTTCGTCCCTTTCCCACATGCAGTGAACTATCTACAAATCAATTTATACACAAACAAGGATATATATACACAGAACAACGTACCTCAGCCCATGATGACGATCATGAGACTTACCTCCGTTATCCGAAAATCACCTTCTCGATTCGACACTTGCCTTCCACGGCAATGACGCCAAAAATGCTTGATTATTTTTTCTTGTTATCCCTAACCCCTAAATATCATCCCTCAAAATGCATTTTATATGGATGGAGGGGAATGTCACTCTCCCTGTAAGTAGTGTCAAAAGAAAGGGCAAAGAGATGGGAAAATGGGATGGTGGAAATGTGTTATGTGTATAAACAAAAAATGGTTCCCAAGCGCAAGGAGATTTTTGTGGATCGTGTTTTACTTGGAGGTACACCAAGGTCGTTTCCCCGGGGAAGGATGTGAACCAAAGGGAAGGTGATTTTTGGGTAAAAGAAAGTGTAAAATCTTTTGTTGTTGAAAATTGTTTGGTGAAGTGTGTTTTGGTGAAAATGAAATGAGAAACAAACGTTGGCTAATCCAAGAGGTCACTCCAATAGGGATACCATCTCAACTCGAATCCCTCCTCCAATAGAGTATAAATGTTCGATTGATTCGTGGAAAGATAGGGATAAGATGGGTGAGTATCTAAATATAAACCGTGACTAGGCCTACGGTATATCAAAGACTCACCAACTTATCCACCTTCAACCCAGTCAAACCAAACCATTGAACTCTGAAAGAAAGGAGGAGAATGAGTTGAAATGGCATTCCCAAGTGGAGGTTCTCCTTGGTTTTGCCAACTAAAGGATTTAACTACTCATGCTTGAGATGAAATTAACAATGAAATGAGAATGCATTGCAAAGGAATGAAGTTCTTGAATAACTAAATGCAAGCAAACATAAGCTATGAGTGCAAGTAATGAATACCTATTTTACAGCTAGAAAAAATGAAGAACATAGATGCATTAATGGTGAAAGCTTTTTAAAGGAATTAAACTTGCAATTAAATTGTAGGAACTAACATTAATGACATTCAATGAAGCTCTAAAGATTCTTATAGGAGATTTTAAGACAATGTATTGAAGAAAATATAAAAATCTCAATTTATCTCTCTAGAACACTATTCATCATCTTCTCCAGACTCTCTCTCTCTCTCTATGTCCTTTGTGTAGTGTGTGGAATGCTGAATAATGGAGTCCTTCCTTGCCAAAAACGTCTATGGAGTGATGGCCTAGCCTGCAGATGTGATCTCCATCCATAGGGTTGCAAGAGCAATAGGCAGGACAAGGGAGTGCAGACCTTGTCTGCACACCCAGCTTCCCTTCTCTTCTCTCTCCTCATTGATTATCATGGCTCCCAAAGTATGCAAAGAGGTGCGAAAAGGGATGAACAGTGTTGTGGGCGTGTCAGAGGAGTGTGGGAGACCTGTTGGTGGGACCCTCAAAGCAATAGAGCATGGCTGCAGAAATAAGGGAGATTCAGCAGACAGTACTAGTACTGTGTATTGGTACCCCGAATTCCAGAGGCAAAACCATACCGATACTGCGTACCAGTACTGTCTTTTATAGAGGCCACACTGTACCAGTACTGCGTATCGGTACTATTTCTGCAATTTTGATTGGTTTTCTAGTTTCTCCAACTCCTTAGCTTTCCTCTAGCCACTATTTCATCCTCAATCACCTCACTCATTTGAGAAAGCCTTAAGAAGCATCATTTGACATCTTTTATCTGCAATCACCAAATATCTTCGTTAATAGCTCAAGTAGTGCAGTTACAATCATTTAATCCCCACCAGTAAGTGAAAATGAAATAATTAGCACATAAAATATGCAATGCTTTTTTGCTAATCACCTAGGTCTGTTCTCTCACCTCTCCTACTTCTTAGGAGCAATGACCTTGCTAGAAGCACTCGGAGCCTCTAAATTGGTTGAGATGGTGAGTTTCTCAAGGTCATCCCTAGACACCCAAACTTGTTTTCCCTTCGTAAAACTCGAGTTAGGTCTAGAAATAGGTGAAGGACTATCTCTCTTCTCCTCGGATGTGTGTAGATCAATTTTAACCTTGAGGGTAGAAGGTGTCTTGTGCACTCTACCCTTTAGTCCATTAGATGATGATGCATGACAATGTTTTGACTCACATGAACTCTCTAAAGGCTTGGAAATATTAACAACTTGGTTGTTTAAACCTTTCAATTGATGTGCTAGATGCGTAAGCTTTTTATCTAAGGTTTCGCTATTTTGAATGCAATATGCATTATAGTAACCATGCTCACCACAAGTAAAACACATAAATGATTTGGTTCGGTTTTTTCTTCTTAGCCAACTTCTTTTTAAGCCTATCCTTACCATTATTAGTTTTTTTTTAGGACTTTTGCATACTCGTAGGGGTGATGTGTTTGGGTCACCCTTCACAAACACAGTCTTGGAAAAAGTGGAGGTCTTGTGTTCATTAGTGAATCCTAATCGTCTCTTATCACCAACACTTTTTCCAACAGACAACATTTTATCAAGTTTTTTGGTGCTTTGGGAAAGTCTTTTTGAGAGCACTTGTGATTCATATAGGTCTCTATCAAGTTTGATAATTTTAAACTCAAGACCGTTCTTATATTCTAAAAGCCCATCGTGATCTCTCTCTAGAAATCTCACCTTGCCATAGAGGGACTTCTTCTCCTCCTCAAGCCCAATAATATGAACCTTGGACTTGACTAAGTCCACATGAAGTACTTTTTTTTCATCTGTACTCATTTTGAGTGTCGTTCTCAATGAAAACAACTTCACTCTTTGTTTTAGATGCTCCTAGTATAACTCATTATAAGGATCTTGGATTGACTCAACTTCCACAATCTTGAAAGCTTCTCGTAAGGGGGAGGAGTGTGAGCCTACAAATGTTGTCAAGTTTTGTTCATCGCTTGACAAAGAGGAGTCAACACTCATTGTGGACTCACTTTTGCTTTCACTCATCTTAGCTTTTAAGGCTCTCCTCTTCATTCTTGGGCATGTCCTTGCTATGTCTCTCTGTCGAAAGTACCTCTTCAAATTTAGTGTAGCTTCACTTGGACCTCCCCGCCGCATGAATCGTCTAGGCCTCAAACGATTATGGGCATGGCAGCAATTCTCGGTATGCATATACTAATGAGTTTTTCAACCAACAAATTATTCAATGCCAATTTATGAGGTTAGGTAGAATCACTAGTGGTAGCCTATCTAAGGGATCCAGGTTATTGTGGAAGCTCTCTAGGTAGAAAGATAATTTTTTTTCTCTTCAAAAACTCACAAGAGGCTTCCAAGAAGCTTAACCTAGATATGTGAAAGGCTCTCCTTATTTATAGGTCTGGAATAAGGGTAGCCTTACTAAATAAAAAAACTTAGATTCACGAATGACCGATTGATCGGTGGGTGCGATTGTCACTAGAGTGAAAATAACATTTCAAACATGACTAAGGCATGCACCACTCGAGCAAGCTCATAGAGTGAGTCTTATGTTGCTTACCATGGCCTTTTTCCATTTTCTTCCCTAAGTCATAAAGAGACCGCTCTAGCAAAGGCTAGCGGGAATAGATTGGTCACTATATGTTTTTAAGCATAAAATCATACAAAAACTTATCCTCTTGAGCAACAAATGGTGTTTCTCAAAGAGTGGTCTGATTGTGACTCAAACTATGTTTTCAAAGCACAAAATGGTTTAGAAAAACTTTTCTTTTAAAATCACCTAGGAGTCATAATCAAAACGCTTCCAATTTCATTTTTATTGTAATCATCCTAAGTAAAATTAACTAAGACATCTTAGTTGTCTATGTCATTACCCTTATCCTAAGAATGAAGAAACATATGGAGATTGAATGATGTAGCTTTGAAATTTGATCTCTTCCCTTCAATGACACTTTCAGTTCTTGAACTTATTAGCATCATGACCATGGAATAGGTTGAGATTTTACAACTGACTCCAATAAATTAGTCAATTACAATTATGATCTAACAATTAAGTTCTACCTCAAGACTTAGTGGTAGACCTGAAGACAAAGAAAAGGCAAAGAAGGGTTACACCATTACCAAATATTAAAAGAAACCTCCCTACTCCAAAGAAAGTTGTGGACAACTTACTCTTTATAGGAACAACAATAATGACAACAGATTGGGTTTTAGACCCTAGCTTGAATTTGAAAAAATTTGTTTTGGTCACTAGAAGACTGAATTTTTTAACTTTGTGGTTCTAAAACACCTTCACCTTGTCCTGAAATTCTTCCGACAAGGTTGCAATATCAATTGCAACATAAAGGAACTATTTGTTTCTTTTTTTCAAATTGATTGGATGAAAGATGGTAATCAAAGAAATGCAATTAAAATTACCAGAAGAAAGAGGCACTACACCCTAGCAATAGAGAGTCCTGACTAGGTTTGCCACCAGAGGTTTGGAGGGACTGAATTCCCAACCTGAACCAAAAACAAATAAAACCCTATCTTTTCATTCCTTGGGGGAGTAGGGATCTTGGTTATCAAGTCAGCACTACCAAGCCTCTTGGTCAAATAATACCACCCATAGCTTGGCCTAATACCAACCTTGATTTCAAAAGAATAGAGGATCTTCCCTACCAATGAAAACACTCCCACACCATGGCAAAACTCCAGAGAACTTAAAAACTCAATTATGATTCTCTAGCTATTGGGGGTAAGTTGGACAAGGACAATGTTCAGAAAAGACAAGAAATTATGGATATAAGGGTGAATGGGGAACCTAAGTTCTACAATCAACGTCATTTCAAAAAGGCAGACTTCACTTTCACAAAAGTCACAAGCTCGTTCCTTATTTAAAGAAACCCTTAAATGAACAAAGTCAGGAATACAAAATTGGGCATGAATATTCCCAAGATCTTTCTTGATAAAACTACTACACACTCTTTTGGAATAAAATTCAAGAGTAATAAAGGTTTCCCCTGAAGGGATTTCTTTCAAGAACTCTACCTCCTCAAGACCAGTTTCTTGTTGAAAGGGGAGGGCAAGTTCTAATGAATTTTTCTCAGAAACCATGGGAAAATGCAGTTGTGAATCAAGTAAAAAGAAGGAGAAGGCTTCTTTAAAGAAAAAAAAATCCCAAATAAGAATCCACAATAGCAATGAATAGCGTAACAAATTGAGAATTCAACTTCCTCTAAGAAAATCTTTGAGAAAGAAATAAAAATATGTAGTAAGCAACTTGAAAGGGAATCCAACCAATACATTCTAGGATATTTTAAAAATTATAGAAGAAAAGAAAAATCACAAAGAGGCAGAGGTTTCAAGAACTATGAGAGTCAGGAGATTCTTAAACAAGAGCTTTGGAGGGGCTAAATAGCCCAGGGAAAGCCTGTTTGAATAAACTACCTCATTTAAACTGAAGAAACGTGTGCAGGTAATCAGTTTCTGCAGATCGAGGAAGTAACAGACAAAAATCTAATGGGAAACACAACCTACATCCTAGCTATGATGGAAAACCCTAATTAGGTGCAACTGATGTGGGAGAAAATTAATTACTATGATGGGAAAGCTCCAACAATGCTCCATCTTTTAAAAAATTGTTGTTAGCAAGACAGTGGACCTCTAGCAATACTGGGAAAGCTCAAAGCAAGCCTAATCCTAGTAATTAGCTTTCCCCTACCTAGCAAGCATGTAAAAGGGATTTTAGGGATCATGTTATCTAAAATTCAAAAGTCAAAAGACCTCTAAGATAAGGTTAATAGCACACCTGTAGGGGATATACAGTTAAAAAATGGACATTCCTCAATTCAAAGGGGTCCTCGCCTTTTTATCAAGCCTATATGGGATTCAAAAGACTCCCTTATGAGGAATAGTACTTCCCACTGCTTGAAGAGATAGACTCCAACCAAAATGAGAGTCCTACAAAGATAAGCGAGAAAAGACTCCTCCAAAGAGAGGAGACTTAACCTCCCATAACAAATAGAGGAGCCTAGAGTCTACTCCTTACCCATTATTTATTAAAAATATACTATAAAAAGAAACCTGGAGGAAGACCAAATGTATGCAAGAAATTTCCTAGTAAATACCTTGAGATCCCTTCTAGCAAATACTAACTTAAGTATCAAGGGGTTGACCCCCCTGAGCTCTCCCTCCGAACTTTGACTTCCTTTTCAGGTGTTTTAGCTTGCAGAATCCTCTTTTGAAGTCCTAGAGAGCTGAATCTACACTCTGCTAAACTATTCAAATCACTTGGAAGAGTGACAAAGATCAAGGAGACCAGCTCATCAGCTTGCACAGAGGTTGGGTAAGATTTCTACACTAACAGCAGTGTTCCTCTCTACTCATGTAAGAGTATTTCGTTGAATTTTTTAGTAATGTCAACTTCAATGAGCCTAGGTGGGGCTAGGTATTTTGCTAGTGAAAGGAAGGTGCCAAGCTTCTCCTAGCCTTTTTATAAGCTAGGCGACTTGTTGTTGGTGGATACCCTTCTTTTTTCAACGTTACGATGAAGGTGCATTACTTGAAGGCCTAGTTTCCCCGAGCTAAGCTTACTCAAGGTTAAAATTTGTTGTATATTATGAAGATTTTTGAAGAAAATAAGATTTTATTGAACTTTATCCCATAAGAAGAAAAACCTTTATAAAGGAGGTGGACAACCGTCCTTATTGAGCTTCACACAAGCTAATTCCTATTGGAAATACTTCTTTAGATGTTACGCATTCCATGCATATGTCAACTATCTTCCTTCTAAATTTTGGATTTCATAAGTAGCAGGCTCAACATTTGATTAACCTAATAAAGACCTTCCCAGGTTGGTCCCAACTTTTCTTCTTTGGGATTGCTGGAAGCGGGAGTTACTTTTTTAAGAACAAGCTCTTCCGGGGAGAATTCCCAAATCTTCACCCTTTTGTTGTAGTACTTTGCAATCTGCTTCTAATAAGAAGCCACCTGGATTATTGCTAGTTCCCTTTCTCATCCAGCAAATCCAGATTGACTCTGAGTTGCTCCTCATTATTCTCTTTGTTAAAATGTCAGACTCTATAGGTTTCCAACCCCATTTCAATTGAAATTACTACTTCGATTCCAAAGGCTAAGGAGAATGGAGTTTCTCTAGTGGGAAATCTTACTGTTGTCCTATACGCCCATAGAATGCTTAGGAGCTCTTCTATCCATAGTCCTTTTTCTGCTTCCAACCTTGTCTTCAACCCCTCTAGCAAGGTTAATATAGTGACTTTTGCCTTTCATAGGAGATGAATAATGGTTTTGGATCCCTAAATTAGAATAGAATTCCTTAAAGGTATCATTGTTAAACTGCTTTCCAGTATCAGTTACTAAAACCCTAGGAACTCTAAAGAGACAAACAATGGATTTCCAAATGAAACTCCTAAGTTTCTACTTTGTGATTGTAGCCAATGGTTATGGGTCTGACCACTTAGTGAAGTAGTCAATGGTCACTATTGCGAACTTGTTCTGCCTTTTTCCAATTGCTAATGGACCTACTATGTCAGTGCCCCATTGCACAAAAGGCCAGAGACTGGTTATGGGGGTGAACTCTTGTGAGGTATGCTTGAGAACATTGGCGAACCTTTGGCACTTATCACAACTTCGTGAGATTTCAATGACATCTTTTTTCATGGTAGGCTAGGAATTCCTTTGGCGTAGAACCTTTTGAGTCCATGCTCTTCCTCTAAAATGGTTGCCACAGATTCCTTCATGAATATTGCTGAGCATATATCAAGCTTATTCATGCTCTAAATAGAGTAAGTATGGCATAGAGAAACCTCTTTTTTATA